GGGTATCTAAGCAACCGTCCCAGGAAAGCCCTTAACCATAGCAGCAGAACGTGCTGAACACAGGAAACCATCAAGACCTGAGGAAATAACATTCCTTCCTTGAGGTTAGTATCTAATGCAGCTAAAGCAATCATAAAATGGCTTTAAAAGTGGAAAGTCTCCCACATCACCCCAACCCCTTCATGTCTTCCTTTGTATGTGGGTACCAGGCGTGGTGACCCAGACCTGTGACCCCAGCTCTGGGAAATAAAGGCAGGAAGATCAAGAATTTGAGACCAGCCTTAGCTACATGAGACCTTACTTTAAAAATATATACATTGACACATGGTAGCTCACAACTGTCTGTAATTCCAGTCCCAAAGGATGTGGCACCTTCTGGCCTTTACAGGTGCCAAGCATGTACATGCCACCTAGACATACATGTAGGCAAACACCCGTACACATAAAGTTTGTTAAAGTAAAAGGGAAAAGCATGCCTAGTGAGCCGGGCATGGCGGTGGGCCCCTGAATAACCAGCATTTGGGGAGCAGAGGCCAGAGAATTCAGTTCAGGAGCAGGCTGGGCTACCTGAGACCTTGACCCCCCAAAACACAGGGAAAAGGCAATTGGCCTCTGTCTGTGATCTCACTACTAGGGAAGTAGAAGGAAGAAGATTGGAAGCTCAAGGCCAGCCTGAGCTACACTGAAACTGAACAACAACAACAAAAAAAAACCAAAACAAGTAAGGCAATAAATGATGAATACAAGTAGGATGTGACTTTATTGGAAGGAGTGTAGGAATAGAAGGGGAAAGCCCACACTGAGGTTAGCTGGACAGAGTGTGTGTGTGTGTGTGTGTGTGTAGATGTGTGCACATGTGCCATGGAGTAGATGTGTGCACATGTGCCATGGAGTACATGTGTTGGTCAGACATTCAGAAATCAGTTCTGTCTTTCCACAGTGGGTCCCAGGGATTGAACCCCGGTCATCAGGCGTGGCTGCAAGCACGTACCTTCTCACGCACCTTCTCTCCTTTCTAGTTTGACTAGTTGAATTTTATCAAATCTCATGCGTCTTTTAAAGAACGAGCTTTTCCTTTTGTTGTTTTCTTGAGTTTAATTTCTCATGTTCTTGGGATTGTTTTGCTTTAAAAGATTCCTGTGTGTGATGCATGAGTGCATTGCCCAGGAAGGCCAGAAGAGGGCACTGGATCCCCTGGAGCAGGCATTACAGGTGGTTGGGATCCACCCAGTCTGAGTGCTGGGAACTGGCTTGAGTCCTCTGGAAAATAACAGGTGACTCCACAGCAGAGCCACCCCCACCTGCTCCCCCCCCCCCATGTAATCTGATGCCATGTTAGAAGCAAACATACCTGTAGGGTTTGTTACATTTTCATTGATTAGCATTGTTTGATACTCGTATTCCTGGAAGATTCGGCATAGTCTACAGTTAATTTAGGTAGTGTGTCCTTTCGGTTAGTGCTAGAAGTACATGGATCTCATTTTTTTTTTTAAGGGAGGGTTTCTCTGTAGCTTTGGAGCCTGTCCTGGAACTCACTCTGTAGCCCAGGCTGGCCTCGAACTTACAGAGATCTGACTGCTCTGCCTCCCAAGGGCTGGGATTAAAGGCGTGCACCACCACCGCCTGGCTAAGGGAGGGAGTTTATTTCAGTTCAGTTCCTATTTATCGTTCATCATGGTGGGGATGTCACAGCTGCAGGAGCTTGAAGGAGCTGGTCATCTTTGAAAAGAACGACTTTTTTCCCTTCCACTAGCTCTTTATTATTTTTATCATTATTATTTTCCTTGTTCTTCTTCCTCTTTCCCTTCTCCTTTTCCTTCTTCCTCTTCTTTTCTTCCTCCTCCTTTTCTTTTTTTTAAATTTATTTTTAAATTACACTCGTGATAAAGAATGACTTTCATTTATGTGCCTCTGTATGCAGTGGGATGACGGACTGTGCCACCAAAGCCTGGCTTCTATTTCTTGACCATCTCTGATTGTGTGAGTTTTTGTTTTAAGGTGTGTGTGTGTGTGTGTGTGTGTGTGTGTGTGTGTATAAGTGTATAATTGTTTTGTTTGCATGTATGTGCACCCCATGCATGCAGTGCACACAGAGATCAGAAGGGGAATTCAGATAGCCTGAGTTACAGGCTGCTGTGAATCATCATGTGCACGCTGGGGATTGAACCTGGATCCTGCAAGAACAAAAGATGCTCTTAACCCCTGAGCTATTCTCCATTGCCAGTATGATGATGTTTATTGGGTGTGGGGTGCCTGCGTGCCATGGCAGACACGTGGACATAAAAGAATAACTTACAGTAGTCAGTGCTCTCTCCTCCCAGGGCTCAAACTCACGTCACAGATTTGTACAGCAAGCACTTTTACACACTGAACAATCCAGCCAGGTCCCTGGTGTGATTCTCCCATTATTTAAGCTGGTGGGATCCCTTCCCCCAACTCAGATCCTAGATGCCGCCAGAGGTTGAAGACTGAACTGGCTGCTCAGGGGGACAGTCTTGGGAATGCTTAGTAACTCCTGCAGCACTCCAGGGGGCAGCACTGCATTTAGTCAAGTGCTGTAGACCCTGCTGCGGAGGAGATGTTAGGTCCAATTGGATGGCTCAGCGGGTGAAGGTGCTGGCTGGCTGCCCAGTCTTGTGACCGCTGATCCCTGACACCCACATGGTAGAGGGACCCAACTGCTTCCGGGGGGGTTGTCCTCTTGTAAGCACCCATGCTTACTTTCCAGGTTACCTGATATGGCAGCCAGGAAGAACGAGCCTGTGACAGTTTTATTGAGAGCAATCAGACTTTTTATACCTGTATCAGGAACAGAATATAGTGACAATTGCCAGGATACGGTGATGTTTGCATGTTTGCAAACCTTACGGAGTACACAAGATGAATGTCCAAGACCAATTGTCCTGTCAAAGCTTCCTTGACTTCTAGGGGAACATACAGAGAAACACAAAGCAGCCTGAATGCTTCACTGCCTGAGGGAATGCATAGACACACAGTGCCCCAGGAGCCATGGACTCTAATCTGGAAAACCTATGATACATGCCTCTCCGGGCAGCTAGGCCAGGCCACATCCATGGTTCCCTGCGTTTTCCCCTCTTTTATTTTTTATTTTTAGGGTATGCAAGCCAATCTTTACAGCAGACATGGAGTAGCAAATCAGTCTCAAAGCTGTAATGCTTCCCAGTATAACCATTAACAAACTTCCAGAGACATTTCTTGGACCATAATTTAGAAATCCAATTTGAGACAGAAAAATAATGATCAAAAATCTTTGCTAGGTTTTGTGCAGCAATGGAGGAGGGTAATTCATCTCATTTGAATGCTGAATAATTAGTATTTCATCATGCAGGGTCTGAACATCAATACTCAAATTGCCATGTGACCGTCTTTGCTTAGGGAACAACTTGATTAGCAGTAGCGACACCAGGATCTGAGTTACTTGCGTCAACAGGGATGTTACTCTCTTTCCAGCTAGCAAAGCGAAGTGCAGGAGGGTCAGGTCTGGAAACCCAGTAGCAGGAGCAGGTGCCTTCAACGGGACAGCTTAGCAGATAGAGCAGTTCTGCAGCCACGCCCTTCCCTTGAGATTTCCTCAGCTCTCCTCCTTTTCTTCCAGTGTGGCCTCTGGAGACGCTTTGGAAGCTCTCCATCCGTCTTCCACAGGTTGAGTCAGTCTTTCAGGTATCCACGCTGACCTTTCAGCACCCTGAGGGAAAAACACAAACACAGCCTCTGGCTCCAGTGAATTGCTGTACCCGGACCCTTCAATGGGCCAGACATAACATCTCTCCAAAGGACCGGGACCCTGAAATGTTTTGGAGGGGCCCAAATTTAAATTTTTTTAAGTAAATAAATAGAAGATAAGGGATGGAGAGAGAGATGGCTCAGCTATTGAGAGCACTAGCTACTCTTCCAGAGGACCCAGGTTCAATTCCTAGTACCACCATGGTAGCTCACAACAGGGCTTCTGACACCCTCACACTGACAGACATAAAATAAAATTTAGATTACATGTATGTTTAAAGGGATAAAATACTGTGAGGAGTAGCCAAACTACCTTAGTCCTCCTCCTCTTAAATAACGTTTAAGCTGTCCATTAGCCTTTTCCACAAAAGATTGACCCCGAGGGCTGTGGAATGCCTGTGGTGGGTTGTATCAAATTGTTGGCAAAATCCTGAGAAGGCTTGGCGGTGTATGCAGGAGCAGTGTCGGTTTTCAGTGTTTTACAGGGGCCTGAAATACAAAAGCCAGGGTTAAGTTATCCAGAGTATCTAATAATTTTTTTAATTTTTTGAGGAATATAAATCTAAAGAATTGAGCCAATTTTTATTTATTTATTTTTGTTGTTGTTTTTGGTTTTGGTTTTTTTGAGACAGGGTTTCTCTGTAGTAGTTTTGGTGCCTGTCCTGGATCTCGCTCTGTAGACCAGGCTGGCCTCGAACTCACAGAGATCCACCTAGCTCAGCCTCCCGAGTGCTGGGATTAAAGGCTGCACCACCACTTCCTGGCCAATTTTTATTTTATTTTTTTTAACAAATTTTTAAGATTTATTTATTATTATGTATACAGTATTCTGCCTGCATGTATGCCTGTAGGCCAGAAGAGGGCACCAGAGCTTATTATAGATGGTTGTGAGCCACCATGTGGTTGCTGGGAATTGAACTCAGGACCTCTGGAAGAGCAGTCAGTGCTCTTAACCTCTGAGCCATCTCTCCAGCCCCAATTTTTATTTTTGCAAAGAGTTCTTTTAGCATTTTTTTTTTTGGCAGAAAGCAAAATATCCATATGATAAAAGCAAGAAGGGCTAGAGAGATGGCTCAGAGGTTAAGAGCACTGACTGCTCTTCCAGAGGTCCTGAGTTCAATTCCCAGCAACCACATGGTGGCTCACAACCATCTGTACTGAGATCTGGTGCCCTCTTCTGGCCTGCAGTCACATATGCTGTATACATAATAAATAAATAAATCTTTAAAAAAAAAAAAAGCAAGAAGAAACAATTTTTCTCTTCCCCTGTTGTTTTTTCCTGATCACTTTCATATTTAATTTTAACTGTCATTTTTATCTATTACTATTGTTGATTTCTTTCCAAAGCTGAATAGCATCACTGGGAATTTTCTCTGGTCTCCTTGTGTCTAATTCTCCCTGAATTGCTCTTTGTATCTGGGACCCTGTTCTCAGATCCAGAGATCCCTCTTCAGGGAAAGATTTGAGAGGAATCAGACTTTTTATACCTTTATCAGGCACAGAATGTAGTGCCAATTGCCAGGATCAATACAGCTGTAGTTGCCAGGATACAGTGATGTTTGCAGGATATACGAGATGAATGTCCAAGACCAATTGTCCTGTGAAAGCTTCTTCTACGAGATCATAGAGAGAAACACAAAGCTGCCGGAGAGCTTCACTGTCTACACAGTACTCACAGGGGCCATGAAAAACCTATGATGTGTGCCTCTCAAGGCAGCTAGGCCAAGCCAACTCCATGATTCCCTGCATCCTCTGACCTTGACTTATGTGTCACCAGTACATACATACACACACGAATAAGTTTTCTTAATGCTTGGAGTAATCCACACTATACACATCATCGCCTGCACTTACCAATGGAAGGCTGCTCCTTCTGTGTATCTTGAGGCAGTCTCAGCTGAGGGACTGCCCAGACTAGACTGGCATGTGGACTTGTCTATGAGCAATTGTCTGGGTTGTTGATTGATATTGATATAGTAGGGCCCAGCCCACTGTCAACAACAACGTTCCCTAGACAGATGGTCCTGGGCTATATTTTTTAAAAAAGCCAGCTGAGTATGAGCCTTAAGTGAGCTAGCAGTGTTCCTCCATAGTTTCTGTTCTAAATTCCTGCTTGAATCCAAGCCCTGGTTCCCCTCAGTGAGGGACTGTGACCCGGGGAGTGTAAGCCAAATAAACTCCATCTCAGTTACTTTACTGCTGTGGTTACTTTGCACCATGACCAAAGCAACTTAGAAAAGAAAGCATTTAAGGGCTTGCTTACAGTTTCAGAGGGTGAGTCCATAACCATCATTGCAGGGAGCGTGGTGGCAGGCAGGCAGGCAGGCACTAGAGTTGTAGCTGAGAGCTTACATCTGATCACAGCAGAGCATTCTGAGAATGGCTTGGGCCCACCGCTGGGGACACACCTCCAACAAAGCCACACCTCCGATTGCTTCCTAAAACGTTGCACCAGCCGGGACCCCAACACTGAGCTGTGTGAGCCAGTGGGGGACACTCTCGTTCAGTCCACCCCACATTCTTTCCTCACCTAAGTCGCTCTTGCTGGGAGTGTTCATCGCAGCAGCAGAAGTCAAAGTAGAACACCTGTGTGTTGCTTGCAGTTGCAGTGTGGGAGGAAGAGGAGGCCGCAGAGTAGACGGCAGGTCTGATGGCCAAGCCGTAGAACCGACGGAGGCATTGTCCTCTCAGCCTGGTATCAGCGGAGAGTGAGCACCAGCCGCTGCCAGTCCCTTTATTGTGTAATAACGTGGGATGTTTCAGGACCCGGTGACCTTTGAGGATGTGGCTGTGAGCTTCACCGAGGAAGAATGGGCCTTGCTGGATGTTTTCCAGAAGAATCTCTACAGAGATGTGATGCGGGAAACCTACAGGAATCTGACTTCGATAGGTAAGCATGCCGTCGAGGTTTCACTCGCTTTGTCGAGTGCTGATTCGGAGTGAGGATGCGAGCACACGACAGCCAAGGTTGGCCCTCGTGCCGCAAGCGGCTGATGTCACTTTATACTTTCTTAAAATTGTTCTGCATCTGTATTCCAGGAACGAAATGGGAACAGTGGAATTTGGAAGCTTACTACAGAAGTCTAAAGAGAAATATGAGGTAATGAAGACCCACAAAGAAACAGCTGAGAGTCACTGGATGTTGGGAAAATATTAAAAAGAGCACAAATTCAGACTATTTATTCTTTTAAAAACAATCTCCCTAAGCTCTGAAAATGAATGCTTGTATGTCCTATGGATATTCAAGGTCTGCAAAATAGTTTATGTAAGACATTCCATCTGGGGACAGAGCATTCAAATACATGGGCCTGAGGGGGCCATTCTCATTCAAACTACCACATACACATCATTTGAAAAAAATAAATAAGGAGCCTAGAGAGATGGTTCAGCCGTAAAGAACACTGGTTGCTCTTCCAGAGAACTCAGGTTCGGTTTCCACAACCCACATGACTGCTCACAACTGCCTGTAACTCCAGTTCCAGGGATCTGACACCTTTACACCAATGCACATAAAATAAAGTTAAATAGCTGGGCGGCGGTGTCGCACGCCTTTAATCCCAGCACTCTGGAGGCAGAGCCAGG